GAACCTGAAAAAGGCCAATTACAACATCCCCATCTCAGTGACAGATTCCGGGAAACCTCCTCTGACCAACACCACAGAACTGAGATTACAAGTGTGTACCTGCAAGAAATCCAAAATGGACTGCAGTGCCAGTGATGCTCTCCACATCAGCCTGACCCTAATCCTCCTTTCACTCCTCAGTTTATTTTGTAAGTGTTTTGCTCAGCTCTAAGTAATGAAATGTTGTTTTTCTGCTCATTGGCACTCTGCATCAGAAAACCCTCCAGGGGAGGAGTTAAATTCACAGATTGATATCATAATGCTGGAATTTTGGGTTCTTTTCCCATGAGCTGTGAGAAAGGTGGGGGGGGGAGAGGGATTTTTCACAATCAAAAAAAATTTAGAACTGGATGCCTGATTGTCAAATTAAGAAATAGAAGCAATAATTTTAAGAGGAATCAAAGGGAACCAGAGCTACCATATGATAAACTGAGAGGTACCAGCTGCAGCAGCAGATTTGTGCAATGCTTGCTTTCATCTCTCCCCACCTGAATTCAATTCAAGCCCAGAAAGAGGAGATTAAAGGTGTTCCTGTAACAATGGCTGCTCTGGGTCACCAGGAAAACGAGGCCTGTCTGCTTCAATCTGTTCCTCCACATAAAATGTGCAAGTGACTGGAACAGGAGGAGCTTATTTGAGATTCTGGGCTTAGAACCACCCAGAGCTGATAATCAAATGGCCAGGCTGGCTTGGAGGGCAGAGAAGACTGCCAGGAAAAAGGAATTTCTGCTCTTTATGAGAAAGGAATTTTGTAAATCTCATTTGGAAAGCTTGACTTGAAAGTGGGAAAAAAAATCCCAGTATGGTTCAAAAGTAAGAATTCAAAGCCATGGAATGCACAAATTTAAACAGGACATGTCCCTGGGTAGTCCTGTGACAGCTGCCAGCAAACTTTTTGATGCAGTGTTAGTTTTGAATTCCTATCCAAAGGAATAGCTGTATCCTACAACTATGACAGTAAATCTGTTATTTCAGGACTGTTACCTTCATCTTCTATTAACAGAATGTATTGTAAAGTGGTTTAAAACCTGAGCCGTGGTGAAAGGCCTTGGATTCTCCAGGAGATAAAATGTGCCACGAGGCAGGGGAGAGGTCAAGGCAGGGATCCCTTCCACACCTGAGGCTTGCTGTGTGCTTGAGCACACGTCCTGCCCTGTTTCCTTCTCCTTTTATCCCAAAAGCTGGGCATGAAGGTCGTTGTGAGCTGCTAGCAGCTGATGTTTGTGATGCTCTTTGAAGATGAAAAGGACTGTATAAATGCTAAGTGCAAATTCCTGTTTTTAGTCTCAGTCAGTGACATCTACGGGATCTGTTTTGGCTCTGGTTCAGCTGGGCTGGGCTCAGTCTGCTGGAACCAAATGCAAACTTCAGCTGTTAGGGGTAATATGTTAAAAATATTTGACAGGGTGTGACACCATTGCAGCAGTGATATAAATGTGCAGCCCATTGATTCAAATATATTCCTGTTGCCACTTCATAAATGTTGCTGCTGCTACACTAGGCGTGACTTTCACCGCTGGAATTGCTTTCTTATCTGATGTGATTTGCACTTGAACTTTATTTACATTAATTCATCTGCTCAGAATACAAAGGGGTAGAGAAAAGCTTTGTGCTTTGGGAAGTTGCCATGTTCATGTTGATTCTTTATAGCCCCCACCAAGAAGCCTGATCATTTTCCTTAGGTTGAATTATAAAACCAATTTTAAGTATTGGAAAGCACTTTTTGAGTTGCTCTTGTTGGCTGCAGGTCGTGTCCAGCTCTGTGTGGGTGGAACACACCCCAAGGGCATCCCAAGGTATTCCATGGCTGTCGTTCCACCTCTGGAACTGTTCCCATCCATGTCTATGCAAAGCCAGCAAGCACCACAACTCCCCTGAGCATTCTCCTCAGGTGTGCACTGCACAGAGACGGAAAGGAATGGGTCTGGGAGCCAGTTAAAATAATGTGGTTCTGTGTTTGAACTCCTCTGAAATGTGCTGCTATCGCCCCGTTCCCAACTCATTTCCACACACAGATTTTTTATAACTGTGATTAGCTCCATTGCAATGTTTTGTATAGTCCAAATATTTATCAGAGTAATCAAAGATTATGATGCCATAAAAACAAAGAGAACTTTAGTGCTTATTGAACAGATGAAACGTCCCATTTCTAGTGGCAAGTTATGGGTTTAATTTTAGCAAAAGCCCTTACGTGGCTGACTTTGCTCCCAGTGTTTGTATTTTATGAGGCTCTTGTTCCTGGGAGGTAAATCCTTCAGTCAAATGAACTTTGTAACTCATGCCAAAGTATTTCTTTTTGTATTTGACATCTGGTGTGAGGATAGATAGCCCTGTGCAAGAGCTGCTCGTGGTGAAAGAGCCCTGCATGAATATCTTTCCTGCAGAAAACATCTTGGTATTATCATTTAAATGGTGCAATTATTAGCTATACTTAGAATACGTGCCTCCTCAGTAAATCATGAAAGAAGTCAGATGTGGCAGATTTCTGAAGTGTCTGAGCACACAAGTGAAGAGCCTGATTAAAACTGAAATGGATGCAAAACCCAGCAGTTCCTCCCATTCTGGAGATTTCCTACTGTGCTCACTATATTGAGGGATAATGGGATACAGACTGCACACTTGCCCAGAAGCCCCTGGGAAGGGAGACAGAGCTGGAACAAGAAAAAATTAGGAGTTCTTGGCAGCCAGAAATAGAAAATATGAGATGCCAAAATATCCGGGCAGATTTGCACAACAAAACAATGAGGTGGGATTGAAAGATGATGAACACAAAGTTGATTGGAAAAAGGAGCATCTTTTGTACGTTTTGTATTTAACCTAATTTTACTGAGGTCAAACTGGAATGGTGGAGAGTGCACAGGCAGAGGAGCTTGCAAAGTTACAACAGGTAACGGTGACAAATATTGGAAAGGATATTGTCGCTTGTCACTAAAGCAGACTCTGTTTAAGATGAGACTCCATGTGGTGGCATTTTGTCCTCTGTCAGCTTTTCCTTACCATTACTGGAGACAAGAAAGCACCAAATGTTCAGACAAAATTCAGATTTCAGTAATTCAGATTGAGGGGAAAACCATGAAAAAAAACATCCTGTGTTCCTGGTCAGGGAGGGAGCAGCAGCAATCAGTTCTTGGAGGAGGAAAGTGAGTGGGGAAAAGAGGAAATCTGTCAGAGCATGTCTGGGGCTGCTCTGGGATTGTCCCTGAGTGCTGCAGAGATTCCAGGTGACACAGATAACCCTGCTCTGCTCAGAACTCAGCTACAAAAGGGATCCTCACCGCCAGAATCACAAACAGGCTCCTCAATGCTTTCAGTGAGAGAGCACCTACAGCATCCCGCAAGGGCGAGGGATGGCAAAGCAAAACAAGCCAAAAACAAATCTGTGCATATTTGTGCACAAAATCTGCCCAGGCCCTGTGGGATACTGAGAAAGAACCACTGTGGCTGGCAGAACTAAGCTTTAGATCTATTACAAATTATTTATATTATTAGTAGTGTTTAAAGGGGTGTTTGAATTCTGGGCTTTTGATTTTATAATAACTATTTCACTTAATTGCATAATCATAGAATGGTAATTGCATTTCATATCTTCTTTTATATTCTACCAACATAAAAGACCACGTTAGATTCAAATGTGTGGAATGAAGGGAATAAAAGGCACAATAGTTGTGTCACTAATATTTTACTTAAATATCCTTGTTATAAGAAGGGATTTGAACTTCATGTTGAAAAAAACCCAATTTTTTATCTTTTTGACTATCAACCATGAATACAAAGCTTTTTTTTGTTCACCTGCCCAGTGGACTACAAAGCTGCAAGTTGACTTGAGCTGAAATAAGTGAACAGTTCCATTATTCTGAACAGAAAGTGAGAACAGAAAGCCAGACAAGGGGGAAATGCCGCCTTAAAGAAATTAAATAAGCTGGAGGTCTCTACATTGCAATTAATTTGTTAAAGTCAGGGTGAAAGGCCTCAGGTGTGTTTGAAAAACAGAGACTGGCACAGACATCTGTGCAATTGCAAAAAAAGGCTTAGAGATAGCCCTGAATTTAATTTCCTAGTAATTTCCACAAACTTTTCTTATTTAGGGTTGGCTGTCCCTCACTATATTGTTTTTTTCTGATTTGAGGAATAAAGGTACGGGGCCAATAGAGAAAATACAGGGGGGTTTTTTATCCCTTGAAAATTATGTGTTTATTATTAAACAACTACAAAACAAAACAAAAACACACCCAAAAAAGCACCCCAAAAAAATGTAAAAATATGAATTATATGAAGCTGATAGGTTTGAATTTCCATGGAGCTGGGCAGGCAGAGTTAATCCTGCAGTGTTATCTCTCGCCCAGCTCATTTTTCAAAGCCACAGCAGCCCCTGTATCTCTTGTTTACTCCGTGTTATTTGTGCAGGAACATCAAATGGCTGAAAAGCGAAACCGAGCATTCCTGAAAGGCACCAGAATGACACAAATCAGAGCAGGTTTCAAATGGAACAGACCTTTCAGGTCACTGCTCTTTCCATTCCCTCTGCAGATCCGTTACCTGCACATTCCCACTTTTCAGCCTTGATTTTGAATTTCTTGGCTGAGTTTTAAACTGTCAGGTTGGGGTTTTTTTCCTTCATGACTCAACAGTTGGGTTTTTTCCAGTAGAGTTTTTGGGTTTTCCCAAGAAAAAAATGAAAAAGTTCATCCCTGTTCCATCCAGTTCCAGAGGAAGGGTTCCCAATAGGTGAATTTGCTAAAATCAACAGTTCTTGTTTGTTTCTTTGTTTTGTTAGTTGGGTTTGGTTGTTCCATTTTTATATTTTACGTGGTTTTAGTACCCTTCAGTCTTCTACAGCAATTTTCTACTTTTCAGAGCAGTTTATTTTTAAATAAGTTAAAAACAAAAAAAGAGATCCGTTTAATTAAAAACACTGAGGAAGTCTGCAAGACACATTTGCCCATTTCTGAGAACAAGACACATTTTCCCATTTCTGAGAAATCACATATTCCTATTTTGGCTAGAATTGCAAAAACTGTTAAAATTGGAGAGTTTTGCTGTGAAAGGTGCTTTATTGAGGTGGTTATTTGGATTTTATTTATTTTTGCACTGCTCTAATTTGAGTTGCATTCTCATGCTAGAGCACTACCATATAGGTACCTAAAATATCACCTAAATTTTGCTTTCCAAGAAATTGGAGATTGTTGATATTTAGTGAGTTCCAGTGTTGTAAATCTCACCTCCTAAACCAAACAACAGCAGCAATATCCACGATCTCTCATTGCCTTTTTTACAGATGCTTTGGTCCACATTAATATTATTATTTTTGCAGCTAAATATCGCTTATATCGATTCCTTCTCAACTGCCTGTATGAGAAAAACACCATTTTTATTTGTGTGCCTAAAGATTTGGGTTGATTTCTAAGGAAAGGATGGTTTGCTTCAATTTGAACCAGCCTTGATTTGAATCTCAATTTTAACACAGAGCTGTGTCCATTCTTGTGATTTCACTGCAGGTTTTTTCCAGCCCTGCAACATATTGTGCAGTTTGGGAGCCCACCTAAAATTAATGGGGCTTGAAATGGCCCAGAAATCCATATGGATGTCCATAATTGGGGACAGGATGTTTGTACACCAGACAAGACAAATAGAAATGCCCCCAAATTACACATCAGCATATTGAAATGTGCTTAATAACACTGCATTTGATGGAGTCAGTTAGGTGGGAAATGGCATTTTGCACACATTTGAAACCATCCAAACACGTTTCAGGGGAGCAGAGGTGGGCAGAGGGGGCGGTTTGGGAGATGTGTGTTTGGAATGCAGAAGGGAGCAAACGCAGCTCCTTCCCCAGGAGCAGCAGTGTTATTGCTGATGGTCACTCTGGAGGATGAAAGGGACATTGAGAGAGATTGGTTTGATGGCCCATTTAGCGCTGGGAACTCAAGTGAACGCTTTTATGTTTTCATTTTCTCAACAGTGCTCCACAGTAATTGTTGGGACATAATATTTTGTATTTCTTCTCTGAACAACTTCTTAAAGCCACATAAATATTGAATTTCAGATAGCTGCGGTCAGGATTGCTCTGGAGTGGTCCATGATTAAAAACTGCCACTGAATACATGACCAGTTGAAGTATTTTTTTCTGCCATTAATGGTCGCTGTACATTGTGAGATGTTTGTTTCTTTTCACCATGTCTCTCCTCGGCTATTTACCCCATAACAGTTTTTCCTATTCCTTTTATATTTTTCCCTTTATAACATCCAGATAACTCAATGTAAACAGCTTTGTGTTCAGATTTGGGCAGGATATTAAAGATTAGGAGGAGATTTGTGGTGCCTGAAGGTTTGATGCTGTTGCCTTTTCTTCTGCAATACCCAGTGGATACTTACAAAGCCTTTTAAAGGACCATTAATGTTTGGAGTGTTTTAGATGAGATCTTAAAGCCTCACTTTATCAATATAATTAATTAGGATAGGTCATTAATTGGTGGTTAGGTAAGTGCCACTTTAGGAGCAATTCTTCAAAAAATTTGAAACGAGCAGGTGTTGATACCAACAGTCTGGTTTTTCTAGTGTTGGATTTTCTAGTTAGTTTTTTTCCTTTTCTGTGGCTTCTAAGCATAATCCTTCACTCTGGTTTTTATTCTTGCTCAACAAGAATTTCTTCAGATGATTAATTTAGGATTTCAAGCTGGGTTTAGTCTGTACCTGCAGATCTGAATGTGTCTGGATTGTTCATGTTCTGCTTATTTAAAACTGCTGCTAACCTGTGCAGGGCTGCTGTGGGAGATGAGATCTGAGTGCCTGAGCAGCTTCCAGCCCTTTAAAGGGTTGGCTCCCTGCTACAGCTGATGCATTTCATTTGCAGCATCCCTGTGAAAAAAACCAGCAGACTTCTTCAGGGCTGCCATTTCCGAACTGTGCTTATTCATTTCACTTGTTGAATATTTTCAACCATTCCATTCCATTTATCAGATTAGAGCATGGGGAAATATCCAGGCAGGCTGCAGGCAGCCTCCTCTGCAATTGTTTAGTTTTGACAGAAGTGAAAAATGAAGGAAGCATTTATTCCCTATTGCTCAAATGAAGGCAACACTGCTTTGACAAAGTATCCAACTGAAATTCACATCAATTTTTTAAAAAATAATAATGGAGCACATCTTGGCTTTTCTACCCTAAAACTCCCCCTCTCCCAGTGAGATTCTTCACCTCCCTGGAGAACAGGAATTTTATTAGAAGATGGTTTTTATTTGATAAACCCAGGGAAGCACATGGCTCTGAATTTCTAAGCAAGGAGAGTCGGAATTTTGCTTCATCTGAGCAACTTTTCTTTCAGAAAACGTTTATTTTATTCACTTGTTAGGAACAGCTCATGACACAGGGAGTGTGTGTGAGTACCTGACAGGGAAGAGGGGAGGCACAGACAAGAATTCAGCAGTGCCCTTGCCAGGCTCAGAAGAAAGAGCACTTTGCTTTCCTCCAGCCCTGCTTGGGATCTGCCACTGCAGTCTCCTAATAAAAAAATATAATAAATTGTATGTGTATATATATGTGTATATATATATATATGTGTATATGTGTATATATATATATTTATATATATATATAAAATTAAAATACATTAATTATATATAGTATGCAATATATATCATATATAACTATATTATAAGTATATAATATAGTTATACAGTTATACATTATATAACTATAATATAATTATAAAAAGTAGTTATATAATATTATATATTATCAATTAGTTATATAAAATTATAAAAATAATCTATACATAATAATGAAAATGAAATTATTTATATAATATTATATCTTATATAACATTAAATATTATATAACTATATTATATAATAATATCAATACATATTCTATATATTGATATATTTAAATATATTAATATAAATTGATGGAATAAAAATAAATGTATTATTGTAAATATAATTATGATAAATTAGCAGTGTGAGAGCTGCTAATGCTGGGTGAAACGACCTCAGCAGGGGGAACGTGTCCCCAGTGCCAGCTGGGCACTCGGGGCTGGCACATTTCCCCCCTCTGCCACTCTGGGTGATTGCAGAGCCCCTGGCAGAGTCTCAGCTCTGCAGTCAAACCCTGGCACTGATTTATCAGAGCCCACCAAAGCTCAGAGGGCAATTATGAGCCTCTCATTTCACACAGCGCTTCTCCCATCCTTAACAGGATAATTTCAAATAATTTCTCACTTAAATGAGAAACAAATTGTGTGTGATGGTATAAGCTGCAGATTTTCAGGATAAACTAATTTACTTTTGGAGGCTCTATAAACTTTTCCCCAAGGTGTTGTGGCCAGTGAGATCAGCAGTTTGTTCTGGCTGATATTAAACCCAAATTTCTTAATTGCAGAAATGAAAATACAGGGAATCTGTCTGGGAATAGTCCTTCAAATTCAATGACATTTTGGGGTAAATTTATAATAATTTATAGGCACACTATGAAACTCCTGCAGTTGAAACCTTCCTGTGACAGATCAACCAGTCATGCACATGAAAATAATTTATATTTTTCAAAGTTCTATATGGAGGCTAAACTAATAACTATGCCTCTAATTAATGACCTTTCCTAGATGGTAAATCCAGGAAAGAAGTACCTGGATGTTGATTAGCTGCCTAATCAGAAGGACTGTGCTGATCTCTTCTATCATTTTTGTTACCTCTTTAGCATTACTGAGGTTTCAATAAAGTGCATGATGTAATGTAGACTTTTAATTATGCCAGATTAATGTAATATTTCTGATGAAAGGGTAATTGAAAGAAATGGAGCATGCTTGAGCTGAACTCCAAACTCCAGCTGTGTTAACGCTCTTCTTTTAATGGGAATTAAAGGATGAATGCATTTTGGGTAAAGCTCATTCCTGTACAGAGGGTCAGCAAGAAACTTAAATGCCTTTAATTTTTATGAGGTTTTAACTGCAGTGTAGAAGCAGAGTCTGTGAAATAGAGGGTGAGCTTGGGCTCATAAAGAGCACATCTTTCAAAGGCTTTTAATTACTCAGTTTAGACCTGTTTCTTTAAAATAAGCAGGGAACTGAGTCACTAATGTAATGTAAATTAGTTCAGAGAAAGCTCTGGCTGCAGCAGGGAAGCTGGGGGGCACCAGAGCATTTTCTGAGGTCAGAATTCTGCACACCCCACTGCTGGCTGGAGGGAAGGGCCCTGCTGGAATGTGAGCTCTTGACAGCCTGAACCTCAAGGAATGAATTTACATCCCACCAGTTGCTTCTTCCCTAGAATGCGGATCATGAAATCTTTGTCTTAAATTCTGTGGTTTTTTTTCTCCATTTTCTTCTGTTGTGTGGATGAACATGAGGAGTAAAGCTCAAGTTAGCCCAGTGTGACAGAGGCAGGGAGATGGCTCTGCAGTCATTGAAGATGCCAGCATCAGGAACTTGGGCTGAATTAGCTGAATTGCACCTTCTCAAACCAAATCAGCTTTTGAAACCCTAATTCAAGGCTTTCCTGTAGAGTTGGCCACCATCATCAACTCCAAATACAGCCAGTAGACTTTGCTTGAGTAGAAACAAGGGTTTTTCCCATCTAATTTTTTATGCCATGAGTCTCCCTACCCTGACCTGTGCACTTAGACCTGTATCCCCACAGTATAATTATTTTTATTAATGCTATTAGTACATGCTATTAGATCCAGACAGACTCTCACAATGTTTCTCCAGCAGAAGGAAATCTTCACTTCCAAACCTGCTCTTCCTGACACCAACAGCCACCAGCTGCTGGTGAGAAGTTTCTGTGCTTTCTTATCTGAGCCTCTTGACAGAAATGCAATAATTCTGAAACACGTGGCAGTAACCCTGCCTTTGCCACTGCTATGGATCCTTAAGGTCTCTCCCAATGCAGTCATTCTGTGAATTCTGAGCTATCTCACTGTTATCTCAGAAAGAACAAGGCTGAATGTGTCTCAAGTATCAAAGAGGTAAAACTGTGAGATAAAATTGGTGAAGATCACATTAGAGACTGAAATGAGAGAGATTTCTGGAGAAATACGTTCCCTACAGCTGTGCTCACTTAGTGCTGCTGTGCGTTCCTGGATACCCAAAGGGAAAGGTGGAAGGGACAAAATAAGAATAAAAATTCCCTCCCCATTTTGTGGCTTGAGTGCTTTGGGCAGCAAATCACTCATTGTAGGTAATTTCTGTCAAATCACATCTAAAACAACACAGGGTGGGTAATAATCCCTGAGTGCTGAGGCCAGATATGGAGACAGAGCTGATAGAAAGAAAATAAAATAATTACTAGGCCTAATTATCATTAGTGTGCAGATCTAAACCTGCCAGGCACAGGCTTACCAGGGAATTAAGGTCTTAAAAGAAATAGTTCTCATTGATCAGCAAATGTGCTCGCTGCACGGATTATTTGCACATTTTATGCTCACAGTATTCCTTAAATACTAATAAATTTAATGCGCTATTGCCAGCTGCAAACTATAAATTATCTGTGCTATAAAATACATAATAATGGGTTTAAAAAAAACCTAAAAACCAATGCAACCCCATCAAAGTGAGTGGAAAAGTCACCAGGTGAGCTGGGGCTCAAATAAGAAGTAGATTCTAAAATTTGGCTCTGTGTGAGCATTTCTGGAAGTTTCATTTGTTCCTTCTTTATGGGGACAATAAACAAAAAGAAAAGCCAACAAGAAAACTACAATTCCTACACAGGAAACAATCATGAACACTGGAAATCCAACTGGGAGAACAGAGAGATTTTAAATATGGACCAGAGGCTCAGAGATCCCCAGTGAGTTTGTAACAGAGCAGTTGTGCTGCTTTCTGTGGATTTCCTCACACTCAGGTTGAGTTTCCCAGGCAATACTTTGGTTTTCCTTGGTTGAGGATAAACATTGAGTTTTTCAGGCAATACTTTGATTATCTTGGATTGGAGATAAATGTTGAGTTTTCCAAACAATACTTTGGTTATCCATGGTTAAGAATAAACATTAAGTTTTCCAGGCAATATTTTGGTTATCCTTGACTGAGGATAAACATTGAGTTTTCCAGGCAATACTTTGGTTATCTTTGATTCCTGCAGATTTTGTGTTAAGGGAGTTACTGGCCAGGATGTTTATCCAATTAACACCTTACATGACCTTATCAGACTCTTTGTAGAAACTAAATTTGTAACTGACACTTGTTATTAACCACAGAAAATAGAAGACTGATGCTCTCTAGGACAGAACAATTTGCAATCAATTTTGTGTGCAGTAGAAAGAACAAAGAAAAATTTGATCTTGCATATTCTTACTTACACAAAGGTGGGCGTCTAGTGAGATGTTACAAACCATAATTTTGAGTGTTGAATCTGATTTCCAGAGGCAAAAACTCCTCCTTTAAATAATCCACCTGTGCAAAAGTTTCTACTTTTCTACTCAATAATAAATAATTATTATTAAATAAAAATTATTATACTTTGGGGAGGGTATAGGTCTAAGTGCACAGTTCAGGGTAGGGAGACTCAGGACATAGAAAATTAGATGGAAAAACCTTTATTTCTACTCAATCATCATTAATGTCTGTGTTTGGAATCATTCTTTTAACACAAGGCTTGGCTGAATTCAGAGTAGTCGTGGCACCCTCTGCCAATGCCAGGGGTTTGTGGGAGTGCCAGCAGATTTTGGGACACAGCTTTGTGTGGAAGGGGCCCAGGTTTCTCTGAACACACCTCAGGGGAGGAGAATGAGAGGAAAACCAGGGAATTCCTGCAGGGAAAATCCAGGAATGCCCAGGGGGAAGGAGGCAGTGAAGGAGCCACAGCCACAGAGGCTTTGCCCAAGTGGCAGAGCAGGAAAATGCTCTGAAGAGCACAGGGCTGGCAGGAGATGAGCACACAGCAGCTCAATTTGTCAAGGGCTCAGGAAAGATGCTGCAAAGCTGCTAAGTGAGAGCCTGGTAGGGGATTTAGTTCTTTGAATGGCTACAAAAAGCCCTTTGGGACAACCTGTGAGAGAGAATCCTCCAGATTGACATAACCTAAATATACAGAGCTAGAAAGGAGATTCCATGACAAAAACCTCCTCTGGTTTGTTTGTGCTTTCAGGCTTGAACAAGAGGAAGGATGATGGTGTTGTCCTGAGCAATCAAAGAAGGAAGAGCTTTAGGGGAAAGGTTTAAGAGCTGAGTTGTAGCTGTGCAGAGCTGTCAGGAAAACATCCAAAAGTTATCAGAGCTAGAGGCTGACATCTTAGACTAAATGGAAAAGTGGGAAAAGAGAGTAAGAGCTCTGAACTGTCAGCCACAATGTCATTGCTGAGCAGGAAAGGATGGTGGCACTGAGAAGGGGAAGAAACCAAAGTGAGGGGAAATGAGGGGAAGAAAGTTTCCTAAAAAAAAATAAACTGGAGGAACAAGACCAAAGGAGAGGCTGGGAAAGTGATTAGAGAAATTATGGTAAAATTATAGGAGGAGACAGTCCCAGGAGCCAAAGGAGCATCATTTTCAGGCATGTGATTAAATGGATCAAAGGCAAGAAAGGATGGAGCTGAGAAGAAATTTCAGTGAAAGAAAATCTTGGCAGGGATTGCAGAGCTTTGAGGTGAAAGGAGCCAGGAATGGGCAGAGACATCTGGGTAACAGGGAGGGTCAAAAACTCCTTGTGAGAGACAAACTGGCCTTCAATAGATACAAAAATAGCAAAGGAGAAAGAGCCATAATTAAAGATTAAATAGTTTTTTGTACATCCCACAATGTGAATGAAAGGCTCACACACATTCATTATGTCTGTCAATATAATGTAAAATATACAAGCTTTTCTTCAGGTGTGCCCATAAATCACAAACCCTGCCCTTTATTTACAGGCTGTTGGTGAAGCAGCTCAGTGGCTGCTCCAGGGGGTGGGGAATTGATAAATTCTGTGCTGACAGATTCCTCTGGTGAGGTCCCAGCCTGTGCATTGCACACCAACCCAGCACCACAGCTGCTGCCCATTCATCACGGCCGAGCGCCCGTCCTGGGCAGGGAGACCCCCAAGGATCTCCCAAGGATTCAGGGCAGCTCCATCAATCCCAGAGCAGGGTCAGCTCCTTTGAGGCAGGATTAAACAAATGCCCTTTAATGACACTCAGCTTCATTGGGATCTGGAAATGCTATTTTTCAGGTTGTCTGCGAGAGCAGAGTCTCAAATTCTTTCTTTTCACCACCCAGGAGATCAGGTTGTTTATGAGAATTTAGTTCTAGCTGGCATCCCTAATCCAAATATATCCAGACTTTGGCAGTCACGACCATAAATCCCCTATATGTGAGTCTGGATCCTGATTTTGTGGCCAGACCTTCTCTTTCTGCAGCAGGATAGAAATCCACATGCCAAGCAATTCCAGATTTTGTCCTATTTGCAAATCTCAGTTAAAATTCTCGCTTCAGTGAGCCCCATCCACCAGCACCTCTGTGGATTTCTTACCCTTAATTTGCTTTATTTACCTTTGTTTAGCAGAATTGAGGCACTGCAGGGAAGGGGCAGGCAGCTGTTGGCATCCAGGTGCCTGCATTGCTGCAGAATTCAATATTGACATCAGTTCAAAGGATAACAAGAAAGAAACAGATAAAACAAAACAGCCTTATCAATAATTAAATTAAATTTGATTTGCCCTAAAAGGCAAACAGATCATTAAAAATTTTTAAAGGGCACAAACCAGCATCTAACATTGACCATTACATTTCTGTGGTGGTGACAAAAATATCAATATTGCAATCTTTGAAGTGCACAGATGCAATAAATATCAGACAAACATTTGCTGACTGAGTTTTGCTGTGTCTTTCCCTTGGTTTTATAGGCTGAGTGTGAGCTACAGCTGAAGTTAGATTTGCTCCTGAACTCTCCTTTCTCAATTTCTTTACTGCCTTGGTATTATCAGGGTGTCCATCTAAAACAGAATTCAAGCGCTACATTCACTTTATTTCATAGAAACCCCGCATAAAAGCCTTATATTTCTGTAGCAACATGAATATGATACACCAGGCCTTTTATTCCCTGGTATATTCACAAACTATAAAGCTCTATTGGAGTGTTATATTATTATATTTTTATATATACTATACTATAATATACCATAATATACCACAATACAATACAATATAATTAATATAATATAATATAATATAATATAATATAATATAATATAATATAATATAGTATAATATAAATAATTAAAATATAATAATATACTATATATAATCTACATATTATATTTTTATAACAGTATTATATAATAGCATTATTATATTATTGTCATATTATTATATTATATTTTATATTTTATATTATTATATTATTATAAAATATATATATTATATTATTATATATTATAATATAATATATACATTATATTTTTCAAAAACAATATTGTTTGTTTGCTGTTTGCTTGTCAGGGTGTGCAGGGAGGGAGGGGCTGGCATTTCCTTGGGCACAAATGGAACTGATGGAGGTGCCAAAGGGGGAATCAGGTCCTGGCTCAGGATTTATCCTCTCCCCACATTTTCCAGAACTGCACCACAAAGGTCTCTGACAGCCCCACATGACACTTTGGGCTTTCCTCTTGGAGATTTCTTCACTTACAATCAATTGTTTCTAGACTCAAATAATCAATATTTAACTACTGGCAATGTTCATGCACCCAACCAGCAATTTGACTGCGGGGAAATAAACACCAAACACTTAAAGGTGCTGTGATTTGCATGGCAATACTCACCCCCATCTCCTCCTTCAGGTCTGTAAGAATTCTGCCATTTGAAGCTGTCCTACCGAGTTGCCACGGCAACGAGAAGAAAGGAAGAAAAACCCCATCAGCTCTGAAGATTGCAGTTTACAAGGACTGTTCTTCACTGCTCAGCCTCAGTTGCTCCAGTTTAGTTTGCAATCTCACTCAATCTGTCCGACTGTACCTTGGTGTTCGACAGCCTCCGCCCCTTCGCCCTTTGGCCCTGGATCCCTCCTGCAGGACACAAGGTTTACTCAAAATTTACTCTGAATGTTAAAAGACCATGACATCCAAACCCCCACCTTGGGGTGAGCAGAAAAAAAAAGGAAAAAAAAAAAAACAACACCACCACAAAACCAGATTGACTCCATTTTTTTCTATCTGTTGACTTGTTGCTATTCAACTGTTCAGAAAATATTTTGTCTGTGGGTTAGTATTTGTATATGTATGAGTGTATGTATATATATATATTTATATAGAGAGAAGAGTTATACCACAGGTTTAGCTTTTATAAAATGTTCATCTGGAGGGTGAGAGAAGGGAGGGAGCAGAAGAACAACACCACAGGTGAATGGGAGCTGTGCCAGCACGGCTAAACCTGCTGTGTTTGCTGCCCAGAGCAGCAGAGAGCCCCTGGCCCTTCTTGTACCTCAGGGTCAGCACAGGAGAGCTGCAAATCCCCAGGGCTCGTTCCTGCTCTGAGCTGCTCTCCCTGCCCAGGGCAGCTGGGCATGCAGGAGCAGCCAGGGGAGAGCAGCTCTGCCTGATCTGAGAGGCCCAAGGGCTGAAATGTTGGCTGGGACAGGCGGCAAAATGTTTTTTATCAGCTCTGCAGGTGAGAAGCTGATCCAACAGCAACGCTCAGAGCTTGGCAGAGCACTGATCTGTGCCTCAGCCTCTGGTGCCCTGTTCCAGAAATCCCCTCACAACCACACCAACCCATCCTTTTGGAGATATATATACATACATACACACGTACACACAGTCAAGAGTAACAAGAGCATTTCTTTGTGTGTGTAAACTTAGCACACCTGTTTGCAGACAGGGGAAAAAAGGGTGTTTGTTCTCTATGAATATGGATCCTTTTTTTATTCTGTGAGCATGTAAGGTCAAAAAAAACAAAGAAAAAAAATCCTTCTAACTGTATGAAGATGATCATCTTGTTAATAAACTGTAAATGATCCATCAAAGCTCACACCAAATTTTTATAAAATTAACACAAAAAAGTATACTAGTGACAGACTGTGGCTTTTATTAGAGCTTGGCAGTAACTAGGGTAAGGTAAGTGTCTTAGAATATTTTAATAAACTTGCTTATTTAAAGTTTAAACAAGAAAGCTTCCTTATGCAATAGAACTTTGCAGCTGCACTCTTTAGTTAGCATTTTTACAGTAATTATGGCTCATACTCGATGGCATCCTTACTACAGTGAGGGTATGAGCGTACCTTCCACACCACATCTATGGTTCAATAGTAAAGATTTTTGGAAGCATTAAAAATAAGTCCAGACATACATTTAGTTTCCCATAATGCTACACTAGATATTAAATGTGTGTTGGTGGTTAAAATTTGCTGTACAATAGCTTTTCTCCAAGTTCCTGTATTATACCAAATATGAAACAGGTTTTATTTTTCTTCCTTCCTTTTTTTTTTTTTTTTTTTAATCAAAAGGAGTAATAACAACAGACAGAGGAAAAATGAGTTTGTGTTGTGAGCTTTCCTAACCCTGTAGATTTCTTGATAAGATATGAGCTGCCTTCAGAGCAGTTTTTCTCTTCCAGCTTAACTCCTGCAGTCCTGACCGAGTGAGATCTCTGTGGCACTTGGGGGTCACTGGGGGCTGGCCAAGGACCCCAGGAGTGGCTCTGGCAGCTCCAGGCATCCATCCCAGCAGGAATTGCCTGATCCCAACCCTTGTCATGGGCACACTCCTGGCCCTCTCTCCCCGCCCATGCCTTGTATGGACCCCTCACTGCTGCTTTGCCATCAACAATCACATCTTTTTTATTAAAATATATATATATATATATATATATTATTTTCAAGCAATTTTTTTTCCAAAAGGAACAATTTATCTACTGTATGGCACCTCTGGAATTCCAACGTGTATGTTCAATGAATGCACCCAAAGATATTCTGCACCCTGTGCTTTCAGCTACAGAACCTCTATCTTGAATAAAAGAAATTATGTTATCCTGCCCCACAAATACTCTTTTCTACTTGCTTTTTTCCTCTCTCCACCCAGCCAAACCCACCTCTGGAAAGATCCCCCTTGACTTTGGTGTCATTTCTGTCAAATGCCAGGAAAATCTGCCCTTCCCTGCTTTCCACCCAGGCTCACAGAGCGTTTGGTGAATCCTCCCAAGGGCAGCCAAGTGAGGAGCAAAGAGAAAACTCTTCTGCCTGGAGCTCCACAGCAAGGGGAAGACTCCTCCTACGCCCTGTGCCCAAGGAAAAGATCTTTCTTCTTGGATCCACTGCAGAATTTGATGTGCGGAGAGGTCAGAGCCTGGCTGGAGCTGTGACCTGAGCTGCACCCAAGCCTCCATCCCCATTTTCCCTTTATTTCTGCTCCCACATTAAAGCCTCCCAGCCTCTCCCAAGTGTCCCAGCTCCATCCCAGCCATGCCAGGAGAAGATGAAGCTGCCATTTCATGTTTCTCCCCATTTAACACAGACTGTGGCACGTTCATGGTGTGACACAAGCAAGGAACCACAGCAGAATCTGAATTTTCCTACCTGGACAAAAGGTATCACCTCTGGCTCAGAAACCAATGTCCATTTCCTGCAACAAAGGAACAACATTGATTTATCCATTTTCCTACAATACAATGAAAAAGCAGAAGATTTACACAATTGGTTGTATTATTTTCTAGCAGTTGTTTCTGTTTAACATTAATTCAGCTTAATTAATTGATTGAACATTAATTCAAATTTGCTGTTTTATAACACACCCCTTATTCCTACCCAGCTGTTTTAGCCCCACCAACAGTTATTCAGTCTGTGTTTGTAGGTACATAAATTCTGTCTAGATTTAGAATGGCAGTGAACTTGTTGATTATCATTTTGTAACATGCACAAACTTACTTTTTATTTGTTAAAGTCATTTCACTTGGAAAGGCTCTGTGCTGTTGAAACAAAAATTGGGAATAACAATCAGTGAGAGGGGTTCATTAGCAAGGGAAAGGTTTCATTTTTGGCGTGCTTGCTAACTGAGCCCTGGTCTGTGCCCCTCGTGTGTGCTTTTCCGCTGTGCCTGTGTGCATTTGTTAATGTTCATTTTGCTCAGAGTAAAAATAAGGAAAAAGAGCTGAATTTCCTGCTGGGTGAGGAGGAAGATGAGGTGAGGGTGGAACACTGGTAGCACAGTCCCTGAGCCCTGCTCTCATCATGTTTAACTGCTGGGGGTCAAACAGCAGCTCCACCACCAGCACTGGGGTTCAGTTCATCATTTTTAGGTGGAATTTTCCCTCCCCACATGTTGCTTTTCGCTACTGGCTGTGAGCAGTGGAGCTGCAATGTTTGCCACAGGATTGCTGAGTGCTCACACCTTATCAAGCCTGGGGTTTGCCACATCCAGCACACAGGTGCCCTTCCTGACCACCTGGAGGTGTCTCCAGGGCTCCCAGAACAATTTGGTTTAACCTTTATTTCAAATGGATGGGGTCAAATGATTCGTTCTGCTCTCTTGCAGTCATTTTTCAGATTACTATAATACAAACCTCATTTATTAAATTATGGACTTGCAAGCAGTTTGTAGGGCCCTATTTAAATGCCTTATCACTACAAAATGAGATCTACTATATTGACAACTTTTGTCTTTCCTTTGCAAAGGCCTCCTCTCTGAAACACTGAGAAAGCTGCCAATTTTCCTCTCAAATGTTATTAATCCACTCGGAGCAGAATTCTGCACACAAATAATTTTAATAACTTACAAAGGCTAAGTTGCTTTTGGAATAAGTTTAAAAATCTTATTTAATTTAAAAAATAATTATATTAAAGTCACACAGGCTTGAGACCACCAAGTCTAAAGCAAAACTCTGCTCCTGTCTTGCCTTTGTTGCATCTCTAGAAACTCTGTTTTCTGCGAGATCCAGCTCAATGCCAGCACAAAGAAAAATAAAACAGCAATTACTTCCTTGCAGTTAACTCTGTGCTCTTCAGCAGTCACATGCAGTGCACATCAGTAATTATCATTATGGATATTCCCTTCAGAGCAGACAGAGCTGAGTTTACAGCACATGAGGCACTGGCTGCCCTTCCTGCCTCGCCCCAGCTGCTTTGGGTTGGTCCCAGCGGGATGGATGCATCCCCCACTCCCAGAGGAAGGTTTCTGGTTGCACAACTGCTATGTGTGTATATATGTAGATATATAGAGATATACACATATAAATATATATATATTATATATGCAGGTGGAAGGAGATGGATACAACACAGGGGATTTAGAATGAGCAGTTTAACTCGTGAGATAAGGGACAGCATGGGCTGCATGTACTGAACCAGTCTGATTTAAAGCAAATTAAAAGGGCAAAAATCCCACACACCAAACCCCAGGCTTATCTCCACTCTCCTGTTGTATTTCTGCCACCCTGGGCTGTCCCCTCGTACCACAATTCCATCAGCTGAAGACATGCACCATTGTTTTCTGCCTCATTTCCAGCTCTCTGTGGCTCAGCAGGCCACAGGAGTGCAAAGGGAAGGGTTCAGGGCCAGAATTCCTCGTTCCTGAGCTTTCAGTGGGACAATGTGGGACATTCCTGAGCTTCCTGTGGGACAGCTGGTTGGGAAGGCTCCATCCAGCCTTGAGCACTGCACTGCTCCTCTGCATCAGCAAGTGGCTGCACTCTGAGATTTGGGGTGAAATAAATGTAATCCAGGGCCAGGCTGGGTGTTTGGATGTGCACACACCCCTGCCTGAGGAATAAATCCGTGTCTGGGGGCTGAGATGGGGAACTGAGCACCAATGAGTTGTGTTGTCACTGCCATTTCAGCCAGAACCCTCCGTAAAACCACACCTACCCCAAACAACCTCTGTCCCTTGAAGTTACCATCAAGATTATTTTTTGAATTTTTTTTTTCCATTTTTGTTAGTCCAAACAAGGAGGAAAACATTTTGTTTGATTTTCAAGATGCTTAATTCAGCTGCTTTTCCAGTTAATCATTCCTTTGGGCCC